TTTTGCGGCGGAGTAAGTCACTTATAATTATAATATGAAGAGCAAAATTAGTACCAAAACAAAAGCGAAAATATGTAATGTTATTTCACAAAATACACACGAGAATTCTAGTGTGTAAACTGCCGTCATGTTAGCCTTTGCATTCTCGTACAGACTAACGCGCATGTTAACTTTTGCATTCTCGTACAGACTAACGCGCATGTTAACTTTTGCATTCTCGTACAGACTAACGCGCATGTTAGCCTTTCCATTTTCGTGGAGACAACGGTAAAGCAGAATTTAACAATTATTGATGATCAAAATACTTGGAAGTACGTTGCCAACTTCCGTATCTACTTTCAATCGTAAATTTAAATTTATATCGCAACGAAGTACGTTGTTCTTAGCAATTAGGTAAAGACTAAAGGCCGTGAAGTATTCAGGAATATGGAACGTAACCACTTCGTAACGCAAGGAAAAGCCGCAAGTAATAAGAAATTGCTAAGAACGTACGTAGTTGGTTGCATAAGGAAGTTGCAACTTGCCATGGCAACGTAATTCCGTAATTCGAAACGTAGTTCCCATGCAATTTCCAAACATACTTCGCAATTCGGCGCGGAAACGTAATCTGAAATTGGCAATAAGTATTCTATATTTCCATTCATTCTATATTTCACTCCAACAGTAAGTCAACAGCAAGAATCTCGCAAAGATCAGTTAATTCCTGATAACGTGTTTATTACGATCACACGTCCTATCACACGTTCGCGAGAGTTACGAACATCGTGCCTTGCTGAGAATAAGGCCTGTTTTCCACTTCAACCGTATCGTAACGTAACGTAGCGTATTTCTTTGTTTCCGACGTATTCGACCAGAACTAACGACTTTAAAACAATGAGATACGCTACGTTTCGAAACGATACGGTTGAAGTGGAAAACGGCCATAATATCCGTAATAGGGCGGCTGTTGCACCCTTTGGGATATGATACCCGAACTAGCATGCAGGTTTGGTTCTGCGTGTGTAATTTAAAATCTAAAAGTATGGCTATATTCTGATTGTACATCCCAAATTTGCAATATTTTGGGAACTTTATACCCTGATTAAAGCCTATAATGATTGGAAATAACCCAAAATATAATAGGGTGGCTTGGCTTTCCATAATGGTGGTCGCTTAAATGAAAAAGGAAACAAATTTGCTGAATGATATAAAACTAAATTCCTGCTCGATATTTACTTAATTTAAGAATTTTTCCAAGTAAAAAGTCACGCATAAACTATCAAACAGCTATCACGTTGCAACTGCTTTCGTGTCGTTGAGAAGCCATAAAAAATGCCTCACTTGAAGGCGTCGTAAGAATGATAACATGTCATGGGACCACAAGTTATACATACTTATATATTGTCTCGCGTAATACTAGGAAGTAATAAGTTAAATTTAGGGAGTAAGTGAACAATAATAGGGAGTTTACGAATTACGACGCGGTTAGCTCGCCGACCCTAGTCAATTATTTTACTAGAAATAAGCTGCTGGAGATTAATTATGCTGCCAGGAATTGTGGCAAGAAGCTTTGACATTTAGCTGATATTGCATTTTCATATAAGCTGTACGCGTAAAATAGCAATCACGTTGTCGCTGCTTTCATGTCATCGAGAGGCCGTGAAAATGACTCATTTGAAGGTGTCGTAAGAATTACAACATTCTCATGGGACCACAAATTATGCATGCATGCCTATTGCATAGCGTGTGAAGTTTGTTTGTTTTGAAAGTGCGTCGTCAAACTGCTGCGTCTTTGGCTTATTATTGAAAAATGCCAATAAAGCTTTAAAATGATAGACTGAGTGGCAGCAGTAATTTGAAAATATTTATGATCAGTTTATTTTAAATCGGGTCATCGAGAGATTGTATTTTATTTACTCCTTCTCTCGCTGTTGAATGTTTAAAGCAACATCAACATACGTGTATATTTATTCTGTGAAGAAATGAAGAATTTTTGTACAATCTTGATATTTCTACAATCTTCCATGTTTTTGCAGCTGCAATTCGTGTTTCTCACTGTTTCACAATATCTGGCAATTCGTCATGGTGAGTCGAAATAGAACTAAAATTTCATTCTTTATTATAGCTATATTAGATTATCTGATGTTAAGGTCTTCTAAGCTAAATTGAGCAACTTGAAGTCGATTATGTATGACAATTGCAATTTTATCGAAATGTTGAATGATAATATTAATACAGAATGTTTTGAGAGTTTAAAGTAATATCTAAGCGCGCAATTTGACTCACGAGATCACGCATTACAGCCGGTAGTGAGCTTTGCGACAAAAAGCGTAGTATTGCAAGGCATAAGTCCTGCAAGCCAAATTGGGCTGGGAAGGGTAAAGGGTTACTTGCGAAAATTACGAGAAAACTTTAATTTATACAATGTTAAAAGACGGTTTTAACTCATCTAAGAAACTATAAAATAACTTAAGAGTTAGGGCTTATTTTATCAATTTCAAAATTGTTGTGGTTAAATGCAAAAACGTTTTCTTAGCATTTGAAACACTCTTTACAAATTAACATCCCTCAAATATAACTGCATTGCAAGTTGCAAAGAAAATAATTGCAAAGTGTTCAGAATTCGTGTTTCTCACTGCATCACAATATCTGGCAATTAGTCATGGTTAGCCAAAATAGAACTAAAATGTCATTCTTTATTATTATAGCTATATTAGATTATCTAATGGTAAGGTTTTTTAAACTAAATTGAGTAACTGGAAGTCGATTATGTATGACAATTGCAATTTTTTCGAAATGTTGAATGATAATGTCAATACAGAATGTTTTGAGAGTTTAAAGTAAATTCTAAGGGCTCAATTGACTCATGAGATCACGCATTACAGCTGGTATTGAGCTTTGCGACAAAAAGCGTAGTATTGCAAAGCATAAGTCCTGCAAGTTAAATTGGGCTGGGAAGAGTCAAGGGTTGCTTTGGAAAATTACGAGAAAAGCTTTGTTTGTACAATGTTTAATAACCAGTTTTAACTTATTTCAAAAAGTAAAATAACTTAAGAGTTACAGCTCAATTCTTCAATTTCAAAATTGCTGGGGGTAAATTACAAAAACGTTTTCTTCGGATTTCAAACACTCTTTAGAAATTAACATCCCTAAAATATAACTCCATTGCATATTGCAAAAAAAATAATTGCACAGTGTTCAGAATTCGTGTTTCTCAGTGCTTCACAATATTTGGCAATTAGTCACGGTAAGCCAAAATAGGACAAAAATGTCATTCTTTATTTTAATAGCTATATTAGATTATGTGATGGTAAGGTTTTCTAAACTAAATTGAGTAACTAGAAGTCGATTATGTATCACAATTGCAATTTTGTCGAAATGTTGAATGATAATATTAATACAGAATGTTTTGAAAGTTTAAAGTAAATTCTAAGGGCGCAATTTAACTTATGAGATCACGCAATACAGTTCGTATTGAGCTTTGCGACAAAAAGCGTAGTATTGCAAAGCATAAGTCCCACAACTGATACTATTGTTGTTAATGCGTTCGATAGATGCAGAGGTGGATCCAGCTCTTAGGCCTTTCCCGATTGTGCTCGGCAACTTTTAAGCAACTTTTTAAAATTTGAATCACTGTTCTGTTTTCCAGCTACCTCGGGCAACTTTTGTTTTTATGGGTAACAGGAAGCAACTTTTAAGCTTATACATGATCCATACTGCTAATTGCGCTCTGATTATGAAGTAAAATCTCAACTATATATTGAACTAATTATTTATTCACTGGCACAATCGGGAAAGGCCTACCAGCACTACTGCACCAATTTGCATGACACAAAAAACTGCTAATAATAACCACTTTGTTTTGTAATGCAAATTTGTGCACTGGTGCTGGATCCATCCCTGGACAGATGAGAATCGGAATGTTTGAAACAGGTCTAAAAGTCGAAAAATAAGATGAGATGGAGATTATAAGAAAAGTCCACTCTTTAACTTAGTTTCCACACATGCGCTTTAGGATCACGTTTGACGACCAACATTATTGATGAATTCACTGAAGAAATGGATCTGTTCTGTGAACTACGATGCGCAGAAAATCGTTTTTGTGTTGCGTATAATTACAAGACAAAAGTCGATGAAAAGGAGCTCAACTGTCAGCTAACCAACACAAAACAGCATAAATTTGATGTGCGCCACTTTACCAAGGAAGAGCAAGTGTGGACGTTTCATGAGGCTAAAGTCGATAGGAGTGACTTTGTAAGAACCATTTTAACTTAGCCATCGCTTCCATTGAATGGAAGAAATAATAAGAGATAGAGATACTCATTCTTCGATCATGGTACTTTTTACCGTGGTAATAACTCTATATTCATTATGTTTGAGGCCTACTGCCGGGGAGAGGTGAATGAATGTCAAAATGGTGGAACCTTGATCTGGCATCCAGAAAAACTTTTTTCATGTCAATGTCTAGAATGTTACGCAGGAGAATTTTGCGAAAACGGTAACACTACTCTGCGCTGAAGACTATCTGTATTTATTTTATGCTTAATACCACATTTAATGCTCTATTTAATACCAAAAAAATTCGTTTTCATTTTCTGTACCTTAAAATTTCTCAATAAAGGCCATGTTACACAATGCAATTTTTCTTGCAATGCAATTGTACTTTTGAATGATATAAATTAGTGAAGAGTCCTGAAAATGTAGGTGTAAGAAACGCTATGGACTGTAATAAAAACAAAAATTCTCTAGTTGCCAAATTTACATATCTGGAAAGAAGAATTGCATTGCAAGTTTGCAATAAAAATTGCACCGTGTAACAAGGCTTTAAGAAAAGGGCATGCACGCGTAATGATTTGTTTATTCTATTTTCACATCAGTTTGAATTATGAAGTACGACATGAAATTTGAACACGAAACACGAACTTTTTCCTTGGATAAATTACTTAAAACGCCATATTTTTTTTTAATAATATTTTAAGACCGCTAAGAGTTAATTTTCTTAAAATTCAGTGCCTAAGGCTCTTGGAATGGAAAGTGGTGATATTAATGATGAACAAATCACAGCATCAAGCGAACGTGATATTAATCATAAGGCGGCAAATGGAAGATTAAATTTTACACCGCGGGATGGAAGAAGAGGGGCGTGGTCATCAAAGCACAATGATGTTAATCAGTGGTTTCAGGTTGATTTCCAAAGATCTACTCTGGTGACTGGGATCAGCACCCAAGGATGGGCCTCGAAAAATCAATTTGTAAAGAATTACACAATATCTTTTAGGAACGATGGAGTAGATTTCCAGAGTTCTCCGCAGGTAGATATTTTCTTACTATGTTGTTGCAAGTATATAATTTTTTCTTAACCTACATAACCTACGTCCCCTAAGAAAATGCAGAACACGTGGGATGTACAACCACAGTTATTAGAATATACATGGTTTGGAGACTAGATGGAAGTACAATACAACTCATTATCCATGTTATTGTCCAGGTTTATGCAAAAAATGGTTCCTTATCCGTCACATGTCTATTGTATTTTAGCCCAACTAACCAATAACAATGGCTTGGCTTAGCTCCTCAACCGTGACTTGAACAACATGTTAATTCAGACCTTACTATTGGTTTATTTGTTCAAAATACAATAGACACGTGACGAATAAGGAACAATTTTTTCCATAAATGTTCCCCGACATAGATAATGAGTTCTATTGTACTTTTATGTAGTCTCCAAACCATGTATATTCTATTAACTGTGGTACAACTTATAGCTATATTATTTAACTTTCGTGGTTCAGAATACAAAACTACTACCTCAAGAGGTAGTAATACAAAACTACAATCGAGACGAGAATAATCTACCAGTCAGAGATATTAACGCTCTTTCCTTTTTCAAATGCTAATAAGCGATTAGGTACAAAAAGGCTAATTTGTCTCATACTAGTGCCTGTAGCAATATTCTTTATAATTTTAGAAAAACCATTTTCTACCCCTCGACGTAAAATAACTGCATCAAGATTATTTCGAGATTATTACAAAATTAATATGCTTTGTTTTTTAACAGATGATCCATGATTAATACAGGGGTATATTATACACTTAATGTATATTCCCGAGGGAAATAGCGAGTTTTGTTTTCCCAAGTCTCATGCATTGAGACTCAAGGGAAAAAAAACTCACTATTTTCTATATAGGAACAAAAACATACACTATTTTGCTATATAGCAACAAAAACATACATGTTGCAAAACAATTTCTTCAAAAAAACCACTTTACTTCGTTATTACAAGAAGCGGACAACCATTTTTCACTTGTTTCCCTGGCGGGAAGCATTGCATTTATTTAAAATCATGTGACTACGAATGAACCAATCACATTTGAAATACACAGCACCTATATAACTAAATTGATTACCTAAAATTATTAGGACTTGCAAGCGCCTAATTTTTTCTTCACATTATTTTCAAGAAATTCCAAGGTAACATCGATCGCATTTCCGTTGTCCATCACACGGTGATTCCTCATATTTCAGCTCGGTTCATTCGCATCCATCCAACGGCCTGGAATAAACATATCTCGATGAGAGTCGAATTTTATGGTTGTTCTTTGGTGTAATATTGTATTGGTTTTGTAAATAACATGTAAAGGCTGGTTCACTCGTATGTAATTTCTTTGTTTTACACATCAAAAATATTGATCACAACTCAAATATTTATGTTTAGCCCTAAATTACAAACAAATTAATTTCAGTCATGCACAAAGATTGTAATTTGTCAAAGACAATGGCCCCCACAACTGATACTATTGTTATTAATGCGATCGACAGATGAGATTCAGAACGTTTGAAACACGCCTATAAGTCGAAAAAATGCGATGAGAAAAAAATCGAAGAGGCGATTACAATAAGTAACAAATTTAGCACTTTAATTAATTTCAGCCGAAGCTTCAGGTTACATAAAACAATAATTTATGTAGTTATAATATTTATTAAACGTGAAACGAAATCCATCGCATATCGTAATGGTAATTCGACATGATTTCTACATTATTTTAAGTATGACTATAGGTATAAAAGATAACAATGTTGATGTTATAATAAATACGTAATTTTGTGTTTTGTTAAATTAGAGAATTCAAGCCATATACCTTATAATCATTTGGAACAGCAAAATTAGAGAGATAAAAGTCAAATAATATTATGACAAGTAGCGATGATAAAATAATAATAATATTAAAGGTTTTTAGACTTTTAGAGGTTTAGTATTCTCTAAATCGACACACGAGGACGCAGGATGATTCGAAGCAAAAGTTATACAAAATGAAAATATTTTCATTGTATGAACATGCATGAGTGTTATAATTAATAATTTATAGGGTTTTACGCCACGGAGAAAAATGCGATATGTTTACCTGTAAAAATATCATTCTCGAAAGCAAACCAAAAACCACGTAAGGAATATGTTTGACCAGGTATAGCTACATTTTGATTGTACATTCCATTTTTTGAAATCTTTGGTTAACTTTATACCTTGAATTAAAGCTTATAATGATTGGAAATATAATAGGGTGGCCTGGCTTTCCATAATGGTGGTCGCTTAAGTGGAAAAGTGCACAAATTCGCTGAATGATATAAAACTAATTTTCTGCTCGATAATTACCTCAGTTAAGATTTTTTCCAAGCAAAATGCCCATTTAAAAGTTACGCATAAACTATAAAACTGCTATCACGTTGCAGCTGCTTTCGTATCATCGAGAAGGCATAAAAATGAGACATTTGAAGGCGTCGTAAGAATGACAACGCTGTCATGTCTGGGACCACAAATTATGCATACCTATTGTCTCGCGTGTGGAGTTTTTTTGTTTTGCAAGCCCGTCGTTCAGCTGGCCACGTCGTGAATCGTAAACTCGCTAATAATAATGACAACGGGTTGCGGTAGCTTAGCTTAATATAGCTTAACAAAAAGCTTAAACAGAATAGACTGCATGAGTGAGAGCTGTAAGTTAAAAATTCATAATCAGTTTAATCTTAAATCGAGTCATAGGGAGATTGTATTTCATTTACTCTTTCTCTCGCTGCTGCATAATTTTATTTGAAGGAACATCAACATTAGTGTATATTTATTCTGTAAACACAGGAGGAATTAAGCAACGGTTGAGAAATGAAGAAGCTTTATATAATTCGGATGTTTCTACAATCTTGCATGTTTTTGCAGCTGCAATATGTGTTTCTCACTGCTTCACAATATCTGGCAATTCGTCATGGTGAGCAAAACAAAACTAAAATGTCATTCTTTATTATTATTGCTATATATTAGATTATCTGATGTGAAGGTTTTCTAAACTAAATTGAGTAACTGGAAGTTGATTATGTATGACAATGGCAATTTTGTCGAAATGTTGAATGATAATATTAATACAGACCGTTTTGAATGAAATTTGAGGGCGCAATTTTACTCATGAGTTCACGCATTACAGCCGGTATTGAGTTTGGCGACAAAAAGCGTAGTATTAGGCAAATAAGTCTTGCAATTTAAATTGGGTTGTTTAGGGTTAGCTACTAGCAAAAAATTAGGACAAAACCTTCATTAATTGTACAATGTTGAATTACCGGCTTTACCTCAACTCGTAAACTAAAATAACTTACGAGTTACGGCTCATTTTGTCAGTTTTAAAATTGCTGTTCGTAAATACAAAAACGTTTTCTAAGCACTTCAAGCACTCTTTACAAATTAACAACCCTCAAATATAACTGCATTGCAAGTTGCAAAGAAAATCGCATTGTGTAGCAGCGTCTTTTGTATGAGTTCACGCATTACAGCCGGTATTGAGTTTGGCGACAAAAAGCATAGTATTACATTTATTGCTGTAATAATGTTTGCACTATATTGCACGTACTCATACTACATAAAAATCAGACAAATTTTCTCCTTAATTAAATTAACAGACACTTACTTACTTTTTTCAAGTTTGTTATACGGCTGGATTTCCACTTGTATACAGAGAAAGAGTTGGCTAGCAAAACATTTTGTAGCTATATTTTATTTAGAATTTTACCAGCATGAATATATAAACTAGTTCAATTTGACTGTTCTCAATTAAAAAGAAAATATGCAAATATTTTGCTAGCAAACAAATCATTTCTCTGTCAGTGACTCAGTGGAGATCCATGCACCCTAGTTGCATGACCTGTAATGAAATATTTCGCCGCAGCTATTTTTTCTGACAGCTGCCTTTATTATTAACTTTGCCATCAATGCAAATCAAATATCTAAAATAATTAAGTAGCTAATCAAAGAAGGGCGTACTTTTGCATGTTTGTTGGAGTACTGTTAAGCAAACCGCACGAATTGGAAAAGGATATTTTTTTAAACTTTAAATATTATTATCCATTTGGCATTGTGGCTTTAAAAAAAAAATTGGCCGTATAATATTATATTTCACGTCTTGTGAATGACTGAACCTGCATCTTATGCATTAATTATGTACTTCTATTGAAAATTAAACTATTTACATAGAAATCTTTCCGCTCGGTTAAGCTAAAAGCCTTTCAAACAACGGGATCCCGCTTCATGGTATGGAGTTTAGGGCCAATTTATTGTAAAGAGTATGCATGAATACAGTAATTTGCAATCGTGAAATTTGCCATGACGAGACTAAAAACTTGTTTTAAAAGACACTTTGGGATAATTTATGGACAAAAGTGCATACATGCATATAGCTAGTTAGTGCTGTTAACCTGCGAGGAGAGGCTGAGTCACCACTGTGAAGTGTCAACCGAATTCCGAATAAATTGATGTTGTACAAACATGAAGGTCTTTTGTGGAATCCAGATATTGCTCCAATCTTCACTATAACTACATATATTACAGATTATTACAACTCAACAGTATTCGCAGCACGGTAGGTTATTATGGTGTTTGCATCCTACGAAGTTGTGAGTACAAAGCCATAGTTTCTGTGTAAAATTATCTTAAATTATATGAAATTCATTGTTCACAGAAGCGAGAAGTGTTGATTCTTCACCATTAAATTTAGGTCTTTTTCGCATGCATGAGTGTTTAGCTACAGCAGATCTTTCCAAATTTCCTCTTGAACATGCAACAATTCAAATGTTCTTTTGCCTGACTTTCAAATTACGTTCGGTTTAATTTCGCCGATACATACCACACCACATTCACAAGGTATACGGTATACGCCAGGTTTCTGGTTAGCTGGAGTTTTATTTTGTGAGAATATAATAGTTGCTGTATTTTTAGATCAGAGCTATGAAACACTTTAATATTGGTATTTCTGAGGATTTGCTCAATTGCGTACGAGGAAGGACCGATATAGATCATTTCATTTTTGCCGAGTGAGTGCGATTTTTATGCATATAAAAATCGTACAAAAAAGCCGACAATGAATTAAGTAGTTCGGTTTATTAAATGTGTATTGAGATCCATTTGATATACAAAAACACAGCGAGCAACAATCGAAATTTTATGCATCAAAACATACTTATTACCGTTTTGTTTCTTTCTTCAATAGAAGTTAGATATTCTTTCGAAAAGATTTCATAATGCACTGAAAGTAAAAATGTCTTGAATTTGAGAGTTATTTTTTTTATCTCACTCCTATAATTTATTTTGACGCTTCTATCTTGCAAAAAGTGTAAACAAATTGCCGTCAAAATGACATACGTACGACAACTTTTCACGTGTGACTGTGTATCGTAAGTCACAGCAAGGGCAAACCGTGTATGGCATTTTTTTATGGCATTCATACGTGATATCGTACGTCCAACCAAATTGCATGAAGTTAATGATTCTATTGTGCATAAATCTGTATAAACTACACTCTTAAAATAAAGAGTATAAAGCACCTGATATGCTTCTTTTTTAGGGGTGTCCCAGTTGAAAACAAATATTATCGGTCAGTTCATTGAAGAAATGGATATATTTTGTGAGCTTCAGTGTGCTGAACACCGTTTTTGTGTCGCATATAATTACAAGAAAAAAGCCGATGAAAAAAAGTTTAATTGTCAGCTAACCAACACGACTGAGCATAAATTTGACGAGCATGAAGTTGGGAAGGAAGAGCAAGTGTGGACGTTTTACAAGATTAACGTGGACAGAAGTCAATTTGTAAGAATGTACAGTATTCTTTGTTTTCACTATACTTTGATTTCATACGCATCTTTGTTATATTATATATTCTAGCTCTTAACTAACGGTAAAAAGTTCTCAAAGCGCAAAAAATTATTGCGAGTAGGGGTAATTATTATATACACAAGCGCCAGATATGAGGTATGCTGCAATTTCATTGGTTGGCTATGCTAGACAGATATTAGCTCATATCTGTCAAGTAGAGAAAGTAAACAAAATGGCTGAAAGATTTGGGGAGTTGAGTGAAATAGAAAGCCAAGCTTTAGTTGATAATAGCACACCAAAATGCACCGAAAAGGCGACAAAATTTGTGTATATAATTACGCGCCTCGTCGGCTATCAGCTCATATACGACTCGAGTTCGCAGAATAACTGTTAATTATCATACTATATTTTAAATTTTGAAGGCTACCTGCAGAGGAGAAATGAATGAATGTCATAACGGAGGGATCATGATTTGGGATCCAGAAAAAGAGTATTTGTGTCAGTGTTTGGATTGCTACGAAGGAAGTCGTTGCGAAAACGGTAGTTACAGTACTGTCCCGAAATAACCCAACACTGCAGTTGCGGTTAGGTTGCGGTTAGGTTGCGGTTAGGTTGCGGTTCAGTTGTTGTTAGACTGCTGTCGACCGATAGAAACCGCAGAAAATCGCAATGCAAAATACGATCGTGGTTGCCGTTCGCTTCCGAAGGGAATGTTATAAGCTGGCTGCTGCTAATAGCGACAACAAAATAATCAAATCGAAAACATCTTAAAAAATTAAATGTTTGTCAGAGTCAGCAAGACCAAGCTTCGACAAATGCTCAACTCAAGTTTGACAGATTACTAAAAAAGCCATACATTGTTGTAGACTGCCCTTAGCTTTTATTCTTTGTTCGAAACAAAGAAAACAGTGATTGCAATAACATTTGGGTAATTTATTCAGTAATCTGGCCGAATCCTGGTTCAACCCCGGTCTCACTGCGGTTCGACCTCCGTCTGGCCTCGGTTCAACCGGTTATTTGTGGACAGTACTGTACGTATAGAACCAAAATAAACTAGGGAAGAAATTTCAAAGGAAAGAAAGGGGGTCAAAGAATTTTTTCTTTAACTTTTATTAAAATTAATCTTTCGCAATTATCGCTACACTGGTAGAAATAGTTGAAGTAATCACCACACAAATATTACATTCACAACCCATATAATTATTATGCGCCATCAAGCTTCTTTAGTTAAATATTTTGGTGTTCATTGAGTGTGATAATTAAAACTAGCACAAGCAGCACTGAATCATATTTTAACTGAGCCTGCGTAAAAATGTTTTCATGACATTTTTACCTGTTTGTAGCGTCATTGTACATGCAGCTTATGGAAAGGGATCGAAACGTCGATTTTTTCAAGCGAATTATTTTATCTCAAGTACTATAAAGCACATATGATTTGAGAACAAACTTTTCTTTATTGCGTTAATAAGTCTACCCTCTAAGAACACTAAGTTTCACTCTAAAATAAATATCTTAATTACAGTGCTTGCGAAACCTCTTGGGATGGCAAATGGTATTATTAGTAATAACCAAATCAATGTATCAAGCGAATGGAAAGGTCAAGTTCATCCAAACAGAGGGAGATTAAACATGACAGGGGCATGGTCATCAGATGAAAAAGATCTTAATCAGTGGTTTCAGGTTGATTTCCAAAGATCTACTCTGGTCACAGGAATCAGTACCCAAGGACGCACCAATCTTAATCAGTTTGTTAAAAGTTACATTGTTTCATTCAGCCAAGCTGGAGATAATTTTCAGATTTATACTCAAGAAGGAAAAATCAAGGTATTTGAACAATATCAAAATAACAGAAAAACTTCTTGTTCTTGACAGAAGGGTCAACTTCCTGCACGACGAAGGTTCATAATTATGCATATCGATATGTCGAGAATTTTTTTACACGACATTTAGCTAATTACTCCTAACCGGCTTTCCTCCACGACTTGGCTATATTACTAGACAAAAATTTCAATGAAATCATGATTTTAAAGAAACCTGATTTTTGCTCCTTTCATAAATATAGAGATTCAAAGGTAACAACGACCGGAATTCCATTGTCCATCACATCGTGATTCCTCATATTTCTGCTCGGCTCATTCGCATTCATCCAACGGCCTGGTATGGACATATCTCGATGAGAGTCGAATTTTATGGTTGTTCATAAGAGATATTGATATTGTAATATAAGGGAATTGTTTGTTATATGCACACAAGGATTTTGCACGTGATGGACACACGGAAATGAAAACACTTTGCACACTGTACCATGAACAATGCACGCACAAAAACGCACTATAGTTGTAGAGTATAAAATATCACGGGCTGCACTATTTTAGAGGAAGTTTGATGACTTGGTTTGGGGCACGACAATAAATATACTGAAAAGGAAGTTGTATTGGTGATATCTTGAGCTGTCACTCATACGGCCCCGACGATCCCGCGGATAAAATAATATAGAAAAAGGGGTCGTTTAACAATATAATGCAAACTGTATATAATCCGAAGCACATGTTTAGGCTTTATCTATCTGCATGTTTAAAGTTATATTGATTAACGCTTCTATTTAGTCGTTACCTGTGACTAATTTATTGTTTTCACAGTCAATGAACACTGAAAAATATTAGCATAGCGGAACAAATCGTCAGGCTGCATGGCTACGCTACTGGGATACATAGAAAACATACTTTTTTTGTTATACAATTCAGGGAGCAGTGTGAGCTAATGTTAATGAGTTAATACATCTTATGATATGGGTTTTTCAAAATCCTCTCTCCTGATATTGGTTGACGAGTTGTCCGTAGAACTCGCCCATATCCGCGCCGTGGTGCGTATAATCCGTGTGGTGCGATTACCATCGAAACGCATAACACAAGTTTACATTGAAAAATCATGAAGATGGTTTGTGCGCTCTCGATTCTATTCCAATGTTTAATATTAATAATGCAACAGGCTAGCCTTATTTCAACACAACAGCTACAACAGAATCACGTTTTGCGGCAGAGTAAGTAAGTTATAATTATAATAATTATGAAGAGAAAAATTAGTACCAAAACAAAAGCTAAGCGAAAATACGTAATGTCATTTTACATAATACACACGAGGATTCTAATACAGGGTGTCCCAAAAAAATGTCCCCCCTATACAAATCATTCTTGAGCGTTATTGTACCTATGGGAATTGAATTGAATTGTACATAAACGGTGCAAGTAATTTATTCGTCAAAGTAATTAATCGCAATGATGGAAGCAAGCAAAACGATTTTACAAATGAATGGTTTTCTGCTTTTTTTTACATGAATTAACTGATTTAGCCTTTAGAAAAAGCTATGGGCCATGCCCTTCAATGTGTCCCCCATTTCGTTCGACACAAATAATTGTCCGTTTGTGCATGTGGCGTACTGCATTACGAATCATTTCAGGCTGCTGCCGTAAAACATTAAATTCCTCGATTATTCTCTGTCGTAGCTCATCGATGTTCTGGGGTGGAGTGGCAAACACTTTATTCTTAAGATATCCCCACATAAAAAAATCTTATGGGGTTAAATCTTGCGAGCGAGGGGGCCATTCCACATTATGTTGCAGCGCTATCACACGATTCTGCCCGAAAACTTCATTGAGGCGATCTCGAACTGCAACCAGACGATGTGCTGGAGCGCCGTTCTGCGCCCACCAGAGCCCTCGAAACATTCCTTCCCAATGTTGATTGTTGAAATGAATGGCAAGTTGAGGAAAAGCAAATTCATTGAGCATCTGAAGATATGCGAGGCCGTCCACATTTTGGTCAAAAAAGTAAGGGCCTAAAATCACGCCATTACCGCAAAGTGCTGCCCAGATAGTAAGCTTTACACGGGAATTCCTGCGTTCGAAGTTAAATGCCGGTGGTTGTCCCTTCGGTGCATATTCGCGCACGTTGTGGGAGTTAACTTCTCCATTCATTGCAAATCCTGCTTCGTCTCCAATAATGATGCTCTGCAAAAAGTTTTGGTTTCGACAGCGTTCATTAAACCATTGCGCATAGCGTAGTCGACGTGGCAAGTCGTTTGGCAATAGCTCATGACGTACGTGCATTCTGTAAGGATGCCATCGTAAATCTAATCTTGTAATCCTGTTAAAGGTTGATTTTGAAACTTCAACAGGATTACGACGAGAGCTAACACCTCGTGGGGTTTCCTCTAGCAAAGCTCTCACAGCTGCAACGTTCGCTTCACTTCGACCAGTCTTTCGCCTGCCCGAATATCCCTTGTTGCGGTTTAAGCTTGTTCCCGTGTTTTGATACTTACGAACGTTTCTCCTAATTGTCTTTTTACAAGGGGGATTCCGAGTGGGAAATTTGACTCTAAACCTGTTTTGCACTTCGGTTACGCTTTGGGTTAACGTGTAATTTGTTACGATAAATACTCGCTGCTGTGATGTCAGTTGAACCATTTTAAGGCATTCTTACTGGAATTAGTAATCAATTTGTAATTTGTGATTGTGATTATTATTGTGATTGTGATTATTATTAAAATACTTGAATGGCAGTTCAAAAACGAACTGAAAAACACAAGTTTACAAGTATCAGAAATAAGACTATTTACATATTTACAGTGATAAAATACTCAGAAATACAATTACTAACATGTTAATACCATAACTACAAAAAGATATGCTAACATTAGGTTCTAAAATATTAAAATATTAAAATGAGTTCCATTTACGTATGCAATACGGCAAAAAGCTATCATTATAGCGTTTCGTTCGACATTTAAAAAGAGAGATCGATCGAGGATGTCTGAGATCGTACTCATGGGTTAAAAGTTTGGGTAATAGACTAGAAATTTTACCCGAAGGGTCATTATAATTATTTTTATAAAAGGTTCTGCATAACCGTTCCCTTCTCGCTTCTAAGGTAGGTAAATTCAGGTCTTTAAGGCTTTCGGTGTAGGACAAATGGGGAAAAATAATTTTGAACGCACGTTGCTGAATATGTTCCAATTCAACGGTGAGGAAATTAGGTAGTGAGGTATGCCAAACTGGACATGCATATTCCAGGACAGGTCTGATGAAACTACAATATACCGCCTTAAGATCACTAGGTTGGACACCATTTCTTCTTAATAGCCTTAAGGCATACAGGCGTTTGCTTGCTTTAGAGGATATGTGCCTGATGTGTGTGGTCCACTTGAGATCGGAGGTTAAATTTACTCCCAGGAGTTTGATAGAGTTCACAGCCTCCAGAGGTAGGTTATTGACAAGCAAGGGTTGTGCCGGGGGTTGATTGATCAAGAAGGACACGGTGAAATCTTTAGTTTTTTTTACGTTTAATTTCATGTTGTTCACATTCGACCACTGAGACACCTTATCGAGTTCTTGCTGTAATTTTGGAAAATCCGGTTCACATACTCTAACAACTTCAGAAATAGCACAATCATCAACGTACTTGTACAGTGGTAGTTCACTGGATAGATCATTGACCATTATAAGAAAGAACAAAGGCCCCAATTTTGTGCCTTGCGGAACTCCAGCATTGATTTCTTTCCAATCAGATTTACAAGATTTTAATTTAACGCGCTGTTGTCTGCCTTGAAGGAAACTTGAACACCAGTTTAATAACACGGGTGGAACGTTGAGGAGTTGTAATTTGCGCATTAGAATGTTATGGTCAATTCGATCAAACGCTTTGGAAAAATCAATAAAGCAGGATCGAATAATGGTATTAGGTGTTTCCAGGGCCGAAAGCCAATGGTGGATTAGGTGCACGAGGGCGTGAGTCGTTGAGGACTTTTTCACACAGCCAAACTGGAGGGGATCAATGAATGGCATAACAATGGGTGCAAGCCAATTGAACACGAAAGACTCAAGGATCTTGCTCAGTACTGCCGTGAGGGATATAGGTCTAAGGTCCGTATCAATAGATTTCGGTGTAGGGATCTTGCTTAAAGGGAGAACATCCGCGCATTTCCACAGATCAGGTACACGACCTTCTCTAATGGAAGAGTTAAACATGGAGCATACAGGGTAGCTAATATTTGCGGCACATGTTTTCAGGATCCAATTGGGGATCTCATCAGGTCCTACAGACTTACGATCGTTACACCTGCCAATGCAAGTTCAACAGCATCACGCGTAATGACGTATCTATCAGGAACATTGGAAACGGGTACTGGAGTGAAATTTAAATGCGGTATATCAGCAGCAGCACTGCAGAAGGATTCATTAATGACGGTGGCAAGTTCAAAGTCTCTCAAGACGGTGCCGTTTATGGCTAGACTATTAACGGAGGGGGTTGGACATTCCTGACAACTGCTTGATACCGTCCCACACTTTTTAGGATTGCTCTGGTTCATGTGATTGATTTTGTCGTTATAGAATCTTCGACGTGCACTTTTACAGAGTTTTATCACTTTATTGCGATAAACATTAAATTTGGGAAGGTCATTATTCAACCAAGCTTGTTGACGTTTCTTAATGGATTCTTTAATAGCGGGAGTAATCCATGGTTTATCGTTGGGATGGAGTTTAACAGTACGCATGGGAATACATGAATTCAAAGCACCATGAACCACAGACTGGAACAAATCCAGTTGATCGTCACATGAATTTAGCCTCATGAGCGGTGTCCAATTGACCGAGTCCAGGCAAGATATCAAGTTTCGTTTGTTGGAAACACGATAATCACGCTTTTGGAGTCGTGTAGTGGGTAGGCTTGGAGCATGTGGTGAAGTGGGTTGAAGTAATATGCTAGAATGATCAGATTGGCCAATAGGTGGCAGGATGGTAGCATCGTAGTAAGCCGATAAAGTTGAAAATGCTTGATCAAGGATATTACTTCCCCTGGTAGGCTTGGTGACCAGAGTTTTCAATCTAAAGGAATTGCACAGATTTCCTGGCTTAAATTGGTTAAAATCTCCGAGAACCAGGACAGCGGAATTAGGATAGTTGGCCAGTGAGGAATCTAAACATTTGAAGATATGCGTTCGAAGCGCGTGGTCATCGCTTTGGGGGGGTGATAAACTGTTCCAGGATAATGGAGTTTATTCCTCGGGGTAATCGATCCATTTTGATTAAAAACCATTGACTCTCAATTTCAGGATCGCCTAAGTCAGTTAATTCGGTAAAATTAAGGTTTGAGTTAAAATAGGAACAAAGACCACCACCGCGCTGGTTATTCATTCTATCACGTCGG